GGAACTTAAAGAATGAATTTCTCTACAAACCATTCTCTGAAGGGTTATGCAATTCGATTACAATCTTATCCAGTATCCATAACATCCTACCAAAATCTCTAGTGCATTTCGAGCTCATTCGGTTTCCTATTTATCTGTTGCGGTTTTTCAAATACCATACATGCCGTGAATATTACTTGTTTCAACTGTGGAAATTAAAGTTGCTACTCAAATATTTCATGCTCACAAAATGAAACTGCAGATAGTAAAACATGCCTTACAACTAGCTGTTTTCTTCTTTGAAACAAGCACCTTGAGAGAAATAAAAAAGGCATGATATCTTCTAACCACTGGTTAAAGGCAAATTAACTTAATTAATCAACCCAAATCGAGAAAAACGGAAAAGCATGCCTAATGCTCTGAAAATTCTGTAGGTCATTATATTGTGCCAGATTCTCGTCCAGCACAAGTATCAAAGCATGGCCATGGTTTGGTAACATTCAATTAAAGTTTAGGACAAGGCATCCTATTCCAGTTACAAATCGCCACTAGCTGATAGAAAGAAAATATAAATATTAAGCAAGAGTGACAAATCAGCCTTCACAGACCCGAAAACCTCAATCTAGTAATCTACGTCCACTTAAGTTCGTGATTTAAGACTAGTATCCAAGTGATTGCCTTACAAGTTAATAGTTGACCAATAACATGTCTGGATGTTGTACTAACATGATTCAAATACATGTCACATAAAGAGAAGTGGTAAATTTAGAGGAGTAGCCAGCAGGAGAAAATTAAAAATTTAGTACTCAGAACATGGAGAGTGAATTTCTCCACAGAGCATTCTGTGAAGAGAGGATTGTGCTATTTGATTGCAATCCTACGCATAACATCCTAGTAAAACTTTCTGGTGCATTTCAGGGTCATTTGATTTCTTACTTATCTGCTGCAGTCTTCCTAGTAACATAGAAGTCTTGTTTCAATTGTGGAAAGTTGCTACTCATCAAATATGGTATGCTGACAAAGAAAAAAGAAATCATAGATAGTAGACCATGCCTAGAAACTAGCTGTTTTCTATTCTGTGAGAACTTTGAGACAAACAAAGCAGCCTGCTATCTTGTTAAGCTTTGTTGCGGTTAATGGCAGAATTAATGAATCAACCAATATCTTGGTAACTAGTTATATAACAAAGACAATTTGGAAAAGCATGCAACTGCTCCAGAATCTCCGTAGGCCATCATGCCAGATTCTCATTCAGCACTGGTTGCAAAGCATGGCCAAGTTTTGCTAACTAACACTCAATTAGAGTTGAGGGTAAGGCAGACATACAAATTGCTAATAGCTGATATAAGGATGAGGAAACACAAAGATTAAGCAAGAGTGAGAAACCAACCTTCCATCTTTCCCAGAACCCGCTTAACAGCTCCAACGCAGCCTTGGCAGGACATGCCAACCTTGAGTACGACAGTCTGCACGCATCCAGGGTGGAAAAAAAGATGTAGGAATCAGTTGGCAGTCAGACTAATTCTACTTTTCATCACTGAATGAACGAGGAAATTAAAGCATAGCTGTGCTTCTCCAGATTCCATACACTTCATAGCTCCAGCAATTCGTATGGTTGAAGCTTTACCAACGCTACTACTAAATGCATACACTTCCCAGTTTAACAATTTTGCCAAACCTTTATATTTCCTTATACTAAAAAAAACCTTTATTTATGCAAAGAACAACACTAAGTACATATAACCAGTAGTCCAGTATTCCTATAAGTTGTTTTGGCTATACAACATAGCTTTTGCTTAAAAAAAAGGCCGCAACAACCTATAATTTGGAACAGAGGTAATACGTCATCATCTCATATAACCGTATAGCATGTGTACTGGCTCTGGTATGGCCTCATGGTAGTATACTAGACGGTGGATGAATCCGCTGTAATAATTCTCAACGAGCATATATAAACAAATTAGCAACATACAATCAATCGTCTTTGAGAGATAATAACTGCATAAAGTCCCCCACACATGCAGCATACAGTAGCCTGAGACTCAAAACTAAACTGTTGACTTGACAGGGTCGAGGGAGAAGATCGATGGATGCAAGGGCACGCAGCAGGCCTAAACGACCCTACCTTAGATCTACGCGCACGTCGGAACACTAATCGGCATCATCCATCCCCTGAGGCCTGAACGGTCTCGCACCTGATGACCTGCTGATTCGCAAGCGAAACGGCCGTGGACGCGCCGCGCGCGAAAGAAATCATCGAATACTCAAAAAATCTAGTACCAATCATCTCCGATTAGAGCGGAAGGGGGGGCATTTACCTGGGCCATAGCAGCGCGAGAGGGGAGCAGGCAAGCTCGGGGGTGAATTCTCCTGAGGCCGAGCGCGAGCGCAGGGAGGAGGAGGACGGCTGGACGGGGGAACGCGGGGGATCTGTGGGGCGGACGGAGTTGGGGGCGGTTCCGGGGGAGAGAAATACAGGCGCCGGCGGTGCGGTGGAGTTGGAGTTGGCAGCGCAATGACGCAAACGCGGACGCAAGGGAACTCCCCTTCTTCCTGTGACCAGAAGCAGCCTAGCCTCCCGTCACTGACAGGTGGGGCGTCCAGTGGTGGGGTCGACGGAAACAGCCACGTGCCCGAACCGAGGTCGGGTACATTTGATTTGCTTCTCCGTCTTGCGTGTATCGCACGCAGTCGTGTCCGTGTCCACGACCACGACCAACCTCTTTCATGTCCGTGCCCGTGGCGGTGGCAACGGACGGCGACTAGTAGCCTAGCGGTGACAAAGTGAGAACACAACCATCCGAGGAGAGGGAGAGGGACTCTTTCTATTTTTTTTCATTTCCATACTGTTTAAATTTGGATTGTTGTAAGTCAGACTATAATTATATTATTATCTCACACCTCGTAGTTAACCTTAATGGTGGTGAGAGGTGTCTTAGGTTCATTGAACCAAAGTTCATCTTTCTCTTTTACCGCCGCCGTTGCCCCTCGCCGTCTTGGTTACCTCGCCCCCGCCTTTGACCATGCACGTCGCCCCTCCAACCGCCGCCGGCCAATACCTCGATAGGTGCCCTCGCGACGAATGTTGGACCACCCTACCCCCATATGGCTCCTAATTCGGTAGCTCTAAACTCCTTCCCCGACGATGACAACAGAAGCGACATACATACGGCCACCGTGGCATTGACTTGCTAGCCAGCTCAGAAGGGAAGGGATGAGAGATTTGGGAACAGAGAGAAGGACAGGGAAAGAAGAAGAAGCTAATGCCACCATTAAATCTAGATCGAATAGTATCAGGTGGGTTCTCTAGTTAGGCTTCAAAGAATAGGCCTCGATCTCTAAATAGCTTTTACTAATTAGATTAGATTATAGAGTGTGGTGATTTGGACCATTGGATCCTTAATTATGGGCGCAAGCAATTGTCAGTGCAACTATACTCTCGTATTAACAAGTTTGAGATGAATTATGCTATTATAATAATCTATTTGCTTGAAATATTATAATTAATTCAATCTATAATCTAATTGGTATCTCTCGTTCATCTAGATTAAGTTTATCTGGTCACTACAATTTAAAGGTAATAAGGTTATCTGGTTACTGTATCTCGAATGTATTAAGATAGTCTAAACAAGCCCTAACTAAGATTTTAATGTGCTACATGCCTATCACCCTGTTCGCTGGTTGGTGCTGGTGCTGGTTTGAACTGACTGGTGCTGGTTTTTTGTGAGAGGAAAACACTGTTGGCTGGTTGAATAAGCCTGACTGAAATCAACGAGCGAACAGGGTATATGAAAGTTTACAAGGTCGAGGTAGGAGTTGTATGATACGAGTACACATTTTTGGGGTAATGAAACGGAGCTAGTAGCATCATAGTCCGGGGAGATAAATAAAGAGACTTTTTCTAGGGCAATTCTGGCAACTAACCTTTGCAGCAATCCCATGACACATGCATGCTGATTACTTCAAACCGGCCAGAGAAAAGTACAGACTGGACAGATGAGCAGTCAGATCAGATGATAAAATAAAACATAACTGAAGATTGTGCGACCATCATGCGTGCTAGCTAGCTTTCACAGCGAAAGTCAACGTCCAGCAATCGTGCCCTTTCAGAAACACAGACAAGCATGCATCATCTGAGTGACTGGATTTATAAACAATCTGTAGTTAGCTTGCGTGGATTGGACGACGCCGTCGTGTCGACGACAAACTCCACGATGCCGTGGCAACGGCGTGTAGGAGCCTATTGATGAATTTGCATATGTTTTCCACTGACAGAGGCCTTTGTTTTCCCTATTCAATTTTCATTTACAGAAACAAAGACCTCACCATGCAAGACAATCAACCAAGATCTCCCTCGACTGTTCAAATACATGCCTGACTATTTGTGTACAACAAAAAAACCCATCTTTCAGCATCAGCTACGATCATCAGCAAGTATTCTACACAAAACTGTACCTCGAATCTCACATCAACGGAGTGGCATAGTCATAGGCCCACATAGCTGTGTCCATTGCTGCAAGCCACACCTGGACTTCCAAAGTGATAACTTCCGATGGGGACAAATGCATTCTGATGTTCAGGTGTGGCTTGCAGCAATGGCAGAGCCAGACAGGATCAGGCCTTGCGTGGCTGCAATCCCATGACAAATGCATTCTGATAAAATAAACATAACTGAAGGTTCTGCCATCATCATGCATGCTAGCTACCTTTCGCAGTTTGGCAGACAAGCATATAACGTCCAGAAATCATTTGCCCTTTCAAAACACATTCAGAAACACAGACAAGCATATAACGCCAGAAATCCAACCAGTTTGGCAGTTTCCATTGCTTTCCAACAGCTACCTCATTTGTATCAAAAGGACCAATTTACACCATTCCATGTATACTAACACATCTGTCGACAGTCGACATCACACCCGCTCCTAAAAGCGGGTGGCTTGATGCACAATTACAATGGCACAGAAACAAAAAGAACCTTTTTTTCTTACAAAGGGACAAGCTTACACAGTCACAGGCATATGCTAAGTAGGTACGAAGTATAGCTCGTTACTGGGGTCCTGCTGCTTCCACAAAATTAGCAACAACGCAGCGAAGACCATGGCACAGATAAATAGAGTTAATCGATTGCTTCGACGACAGTTTGTTTCTCTTTTCTCCCTCCCAGTCACCTTCTGATGTTCAGCAGCACCATCACATTGGCGTTCTTCACATGGAGGAGCCCGTGCACTATCAGAAAGCCTGCTGCTGGTGGGGAACTTCAAGTCTTCGGTCAGCAAGTCTCTGGTCTGTGTACGCAATTGGTTCCTCTGTTGAGTCGAGTTGCAGTAGCCTTTCCTTTCCTCACTTTGAAAATTCTTTTGAAACAAAAGATGGTCCGGGCGCTGCATCAACCTTGAAACTGATCTTGGAGGTAAGCGGTGGCCATCTCTTTCTGAATCACTGCAATAGGTCAAAGACTGGAGCTGCTTCCTTGGAGTTGACAAAGCTTGCCGCTTGCACGCCTGAGTTCAAAAAGAAAAGTGTGAAGAATTCACTTTAATCTACAAATGGTGCAGTATCGTGAAACTTCATTCTGCAAACAAAGTTCTGAAGAATGAGTATCACAGGACAGAAACATTCCGCATGCCTATAAAATTACCATACACGGATACACCAGTACACCACTCGAAGAATAGGAAGACAGTATTTAAAAGATAAACTGACAAGAAAAGGAAAATGTAAAAGATATCAGTTCCTTCTGCACCAAAAGTCAAAGTGATTGTTTCTGGTATCATTCAAGGAACAATGTAAACAGAAATAACATTCCAATTTCCAAAGGGCAGCAAATAGTAACTCATGCATCATGACCTTAATATAATAAGTATGTCAATCATACTAAAACTGCTCAATTTACATGATGATATGCCATATATACCTGATTAGTAGCTCGGGGTGTTAAACAAGTAGGACATGGATCACCAATTCTTGTCAACACATCGGAGCGCCTCCTACTTGACTTAACAAGATCAGCAGAATCAGATTGTGCTATGATACCCAGATTTTCATGATAATCACGTGCCGAAGTGTGGAAAAGCTCATCATTGGACACGCCATGTGAAAAGTCAGTTCCGTAACTCCAAAGTCGCCGCCTTGCACGTGTAGTTCCAAGAATACCAGTGCATTGTCCAACTGGGGGCTGAGAATTGAAGTCACTAAAACAACGGACAGATTGTAACTCACGAGGAGATCCACTGTCTCTGATATTCGCATGATCAATTGGAGAATTTGACCCCTTCCTGCTGTTTCCACCACTACAGCTTCCCAAAGGACTGACATTTTTCCGAGCTCCACGTTCCTCCTGCCTCCCAAGTAACTTAGCAGTCTCGGTTGCCTGAAAAGCTGCAGTGCAGATATCTGGAACAAAGCCATCTTGGCAGTGCTCCAAAGCATGGATAATGCTACTGATCTCAGAAGATATAATCCTCAGATTCAAGCTTCTCATGATCGAATGTATCATCTGAATTGATGACATAATCATCTGAGAATTGTTTGCCTTAGTGCTATGGTCCAATATCTGCAACCCCGACCTTATCAATGATCGTCCATAAGGCTCCAGTGTCAAAGGATTGTGTTTTAACAGAGCAACCACCAAGCCAACGTGGACAACAGTCTGGCAGTGAGCCTCCTCTAGAGCCCCCGACACTTTCAAGCAGACATCATTGATCAACTCATTAGATGCAAATTGCCAATTGTTGGATTGGACAAGAGCAGCAATACAAAGAGCCGAACCAGAAGAGATGCTCTTGTTAGAGTTCATTAGGCAATCTGATAGGGGACGGCAAAGGGAGGTCATGATCTCAGATTTCTCTTCTTCTCTGCCCAGAGGATCAATGCAGTAGCGGGATATTGTGCAAACCACCTTGGAGCAACGAGCACTATGCAAGGGCCTTGAATCTGACGCCATGATCCTGACAATTGCTGGGACAATCTGTCCAATGTGCGGTACAATTGTGCGGCCATGAACTTCTGCTGCAGTCTCGAAAATGCATAGGATCTCCTCCTCAGAGTATGAGGAAGGCTTGTCGGGAGCACACAAACGGGCAAGAAACGGAGGAAGTGTCTTTGAATCCAGTTCTTTCACGTACAGCTTCAAGCCTCTGAAGGCGGGCTTCTTGTCAGTGGGATCCATCATAGAGACCTGCAGTTCTGCATATCCGTCCATTCCAAGACTTGTAGCCATTGCATACACTGGATTCATTAAAGACACAAAATACAGGCTGTTAATAAAGGTAAACGCAGCATGTAGTTTTGGGGAGCGAATAAATCGATCGGCACATATGGTTTCTTCAGTTAAAGCATACCAAAATGAAGGCATAAAACTTGTTCAGATTTGCTGCCCACTAACAATATAAACAAAGTATGCTTCTTCTATGTTCTATAACAAGAAGAAGAACACATAATGCCAATATTAAAAAAAAAAGAGGGTGACCAAGTAGTGACTGTTACAGAGACCATGACAGTGACTTTAGGCATTCATTCAGAGGTTCAGAGCCAGAGTAATAATAATTAAGTAAAAAGCGAGATGATACTAATTTCTTTTCAAAAAGCAAAGATTTCGGTCCATCATTCAGAGAAACGGTACAACGAATTAATGCTTGCCAAACGTCATCGGAAGAACACCGCCCCTGGAGACTGGAGCATGGATAGCCCCAGAAACCTCATTCGAACCCGCCCAAGAATTCAAAGTAAACGGCACCCGCGCCATGAAAATGAAATCCACTGACACCCCAACCAAACCAGGAGCAATCCATCTTGCGCGCGCTAGCGAAGAAGAAGAAGAAGAAAAATGACCAATCGAGCCGGACAAGAAGCCAAGAACCGTGGACGCCGCGGATTCCATTTGCGCGCGCACCAACACGAAGCAAGGAGACCGCACCTGCCCCAGATCTCCCCTAGTCTAAGTGATCGAGAGAGAGAGAACCGTTCGGGTTGCAGTTCGAAGATCCCGCAGACCAAACCCCACGCTTTGGGGAACAACATCCGGCAGAGCAGAGCAGAGGAGGTTAGGGTTGTTTTGTTCCTTACCGACGATTCCCGGTGGATCCCCGAGGCCGGCGAAGCGGCAGAGGATGAGGAGAGGCACGCCGATGCCCGGCGAGCGAGGAGTTGTTGCAGCGGGGGATGGGGATGGGTCGCCGCTGCCGCTGCACTGGACGCTCCGGCTCCTGGGGATTGGTGGGTGGGGGCGGGTCCGGCGGAAGAAGAGGCGGCGGTCGGAGGGGAGGGAGCGGCAGTTTGAGTTTTTCGATTCGATTCGAGGGGTCGTCTAGATGCTTTCGCTTTGGAGTTTGGGCCCTTTCTGTTTCGGCCCAACGTGGAGAGGCGCGAGGCCCGATACGGTCAATAAGTTTTAGTATTTCCTTTTTCTTTCCACAATGCGGTGCTTATTTTGCTGTTGTGATCGGATGATTAGGATCAAAGTTGCTCGTGGACAGGTTCCAACAGGCCGAATCTTGGAAATTTTTCTAGGGACCACGCATGAATATAGTTTTCCAAGATATTCGGCAACTCCAGCTGGAACCCATGAATCAGCGTCTATACTTTTAATTTGATGGCTCCATCTATTCTTAAGGGTATGAAATTCTCATATATTTCAGCAAGAGTCCAGAAATCAGGACCCTCAAATTCATTCTAATAGACTGGCACAAGTGACCCGCTCATCATTTCATTTCTTTTCTCTTTTGTCGATTGAGTTATGCCTCGCGCGTTGGGTGGAGGTCGTGGAGTTGGGCAAGGGGAAAGAGGCGCGACGGAGTGGAGGCTAGGGAGTTGGGGAAGAAGGGGCCGGCACGACAGAGACGTGCCGAGGAGAGGTTGAGGGTCCCACCAGAGTCGCCACAGGGGAGTTTGGTGCCCAGTCACTAACTCCAAGCAATCGTGGAGGAGCCATCTAGGGAGGAGACCAGCCACCATGGGAGGAGGTTGGAAGGAGGTCGGAGGGAGCCACTAAGAGGAGCCAAGGAGGAGTCCGGGAGAAGGCAGAGCCATGAGAAGGTGCCAGGCAAGTGGGGCATTAGGTGGCAACGTGTCGAGTAGTCGAGCTCGGTACACTAGTAGGAATATCCACTTCTATGGCGATTAGTTTCCGTCACTGAATGAGCTAAATTCGTCATAATTTTAGTTTTATGATGAATTTATGACGAAAACCGGTTCATCGTAGAAGTCATGTCACACTTAAAATTATATGACGATTTTCACAAATCGTCGTAGAAGTGGCGTGATCTGTGACGAAAACAGAACGTCATAGAACTATTTTGGCAAGCGTGGCAGGGGGGCTGGTGGGTGCTTCCATTGGAGATGCTTTCCACGTGTACATGCTATAACCGGTTGCATTGGAGAAGGTTCGGATACGTGTTACCTTCTTATTGCACAACGTAGTCATCTCTGGTTCTTGCACGTTTCAGATTCTTACTGGACCACGTGTCGTGTTCCTGTTGTTCCACATGTCAGTTTTCTATGGGCATACGTGTCGTGTTGTGGTTGGATCACATGTCACTTCTTCATTGGATCATGTGGCATATTCTTATTGGTCCACGTGGTCGTTTCTTATTCGACCACGCGTCACGGCACTGTCCATCCACATTTCGCATTTTTATTCGGCCACGTGGCTTGACGACATCCTTCCACGTGTCGGATTTTTAATAGCCCATGTGTCGTGCTCTGGCTATTTCACGTGTCATGCACTGGTTCATTCACGTGTCGTATTTTTATTTGATCACGTAGTCTGTTCTGTTTCTATCGCGTGGAGTACAATTAATTCATCATAGAAGTAATTCAAGATCATCACTAATGCACATACTGAATACATAACAATTCAACCTAGCAATCAAATAACTATAATTAACATTTCACACGTCAGCAGCGAACCACTGACAGAGTATCACAACATCAAACCATCACATGCGTCCACACAACAGACCACAAATGTTTACCATATCAAGCCACAGGAGTTGAAGACAGAGAGTTAATTATCAGGAGAGTTTAAGCGCAAGACTAGCTCACTGAGCCTATTGTACTCCTTCTGTTGTTGTTGCTTGAATTCCTCAAACTCCCTTTTCAGCCTTTTATGTCCTCACCTTCAATTCATCCACTAATTCGACAAGCTCAGATGTACTTTCCTGTTCACCAGCAAGTTGCTCCCGAAGTATCATCTCCACCGATGTCTCTACTCTGGTAGAGCTTCTCAGGATACTAGCATTCTTTGAAAAAAGGTTTTTGCTGCTTGCCTAGGAGGGGCGCTTGCCCTGGTAGAGGCAGAGAACCTTGGAAACGACATTAGCACTAGTCATTGGTTGCTGCCCATCAGTAATAGGTTCTACTTGCATAGCTTCCATAGCTTATTATGAAATTCAATCAGTAAAACATTAGGTTACAGATAGTGGAAGAGGACTTCAACTGAAAACCCAAGAGATTTATTCATAACAAGTAATGCATAGGACTTCCTCAGACGACTGCTGATAGAGATTACATAAGCACAATGCATAGGTCTTTTGCAACCTACTGCCGATAGAGATTACATAAGCATGATGTACATGTACCATATTGATTGGTGTAAAATTGCAACTACAAAATTAAATGATGTTGCCACATTAGGCTCCTGCTGCGTTTCCTTCTTTTATGGCAATGGGTTCAGTAGATTTCAAGGAAAGCAAATAAAGGTACTTACAACTGGTGCTCTTGCAGCATTGCTTAGGCCCTTTTTTCGTACTGGTATGGAAGTCCTTGAAGACTTCTACAGCATTAACATCTTCATCAGGTCGACCATGTTGTTCAAGTCCTGGATCATCATGTTGTTCATCAAGTATTTGATCGTGTTCTGTGACCTTCCTCTTGTTCTCCTTCTGTTCATATGGCACATGAGTTTCTGTTTATATTTATACAAAGGCAAGAGTAACAATAAAACACAACCATTACTTACAAATGTTTGCAGCTGGACAACATAGGAGCGAGATCCTATAGACTGGTGGTACTTTATTTTTGCACGATTTTGCTTGTTCGTCTCAGATGTTTCCTATAGCTTCATTTATGTTAGACTACAGCACAAGTAGACCATAGCAAGACTAGATAGGAAATCTATGGGTTCACACACACCTTATTCTTAGCACTAGACCAAGTCTCGACAAGTTCACACCACTATGCATCGCTCATGCACGGGACAGGAGAGGTCGTACGGATCTGATTAGCAGGGACGTCATTGAAGTAGGTTTGCTTCAAGCTGTAGCGTGCCTGCCATACCCCACACTACAATACATTCTTGCAAGCTTCTTGTGTTGATGAGTGAGCCTTGTCAATATCCAGCCTTGACTGCACACAGTAGTGTGAATAAAAAGTAAATCTGTTAAAGTTGTTCAAAGCAGAGTTGAATGTCAAGAGAGGATACCTATATATATAGTTAGCCTCTCCACAAAATTCCTGTAATGGACAACACCGAAGGGCTTCTTGTAATGTTTCTAATGTGTCAAAATTGGTATTTGATGCCTGACTACTACACCTGTCTCTAAGGCAAATTTGGCAGCTTGCACTGAATCATGTGGCCTTTTGTTCCCCTCAGCAACAGAGATGGGCATCCTCAATCCTCCCATTGATTTGCTCATTTTGTCAAGCAAAATTCCATGAGTTCAAGGCCTCGGCTTCCTTGCACTTCTTGGCAACAGTACTACAAAGTTTTTATACATTCAGATTGTTAGAAAAGTAACATGGATATCAAATAGCAATTGTGAATTGATTGATAGACATATGTAAGGTAATACCAACCTAGGCAACTTTCATTGTTTTGCGGGTGAGTGGAGACGGGAGTTTTCTCAGAGGGCTCCTCTTCGGCATGGCTATCATCATCTGGCCGTGGGTAGTCTCTCACAGGGCTAGGTAGCTTAGAGGGCTCCTCTTTGGCATGGCTATCATCATCTGGCCGTGGGCAGTCTCTCATAGGGCTAGGTAGCTCAGAGGGCTCCTCTTCGACATGACTATCATCATCTGGCCGTGGGCAGTCTCTCATAGGTCTAGGTAGGCCACCGTCCTGACAAATGTCTCCAGTCAATTCATGAAGTTTGAATTGATCCCTAGGTATAGGTGTTCATGGTGATGGAGAATTATGTTCACCTACTGCTGATACCTCCACCCTTTTGCCAGCGATAGCTCTTCGAGTATGAACTCCAAGAGCAAACTCTCCTGGTCATGTTGAATTCAACCGCTTGGAGTGCCTTTGCCCTAGACTCATGGTAGCGCTGCCTTTTGTCCTACTGACAGAGCCTCCTCTATGGCTCCTTCGACCCGAACACTGAAATTAGAGATACAAACTTAAACAGCAAGCATATACAAATTGCATTGCTATCCAAACAGTAAAGCATTGCATTGCTACCTACACCCCCCTCCGAACTAAATATAAGATAGAACAAGCACCTCAATTGCTAGAGGTACTGGCTCATCTTCTAAATCTGAATCTGTTTTATCTGTAACATCAAATCCCTCAAGTACCTCCCCTGGTTTAGGGATATATTCTAAATCTTCACCGTGTCTACCCTTTGTGCTTGATTTTTTTTGCCTTTGGAGACACATGTTTTGGGCCCACACATATTCCAAGTTCTTCCATCTTTCTAGATTACAAAAGCATTTATTAACTATAGCTTCTACAGAATGTCAACACAATAGAGCAAGAGTATGCAAATAGGCGCCTAACTAGTACGTAACTACAGCTTATACGGAAGTCATTAATCCAATAAAGCACATGTCAGCTACACTCAACTATAGAAAATATGTAACACCAATGCTATCTACATATCTTTGGTTCAGCCTCTACAGTAGATCACAGATCATAAAAGGAATTTGGGTACCTCTTCCTCC